TGCTTGAGAGGCACTGAGTTCTGGGCCTCACGGAGGCCTCACGTTATCTACCCAGGGGAATACACCGACTCTCACACCCCTGGGTAGCCCCAAAAAAAACAGGAGACACCCCACTCACTTCCCTTAGGGGCCTCTCCCTTTACCTCCAAAGACTGATAGATGCCTTTGGACCGGTTCTTGTCTGCCTCCTTGGCAGGAAGCTCCGTCTCCTTGAACTTCAAAAACTGGCACCACAGGATCTAGGGAGACAAGGGGTGTCAGCAGCTACACCAAAAAGACAAACCGCAGGACACCAGCCCAGGTCGGCGGCGGGGCCCACCTCAATCTCTTCGAAGCTGGAAGGGAACTTGCGCTCCTCAAAGGCCGCGGTGTGGTGCCGGATCCACTGCAGAAGCAGCAACACCAGCTCCCGGTACTCCTGCCAGCGGAGCTGCAGCTCCTGTGAGCACAGGAGAGTGAGCGAGCGGCCCTCGGGGTCCCGGGTCCCGGGCTGAGGTACCCACCTTCCACCCATCGTGGGCTACCCACTCACATTGGCCCTCACCCCGTCCTGTGCGCCGGGCACACGGGGCATGGCGTCGTACAGGGATGAGACGTAGGTGATGATGGACTTCTCGTCAGGCTGAGGCACATCCACGTCTGCAGGGGGGAGGCTGGTTCAGTGGGGCCCACACACCAGGGGGAGGATGGGGAGAGCCAGGGGGTGGTTCGTACCTTCTGGGTCCAGGAGCCTTGTGACCCCCAGGTCCCGCTCTGCCACGGAGAAGGCCTGGTCTAGGTTCTCCAGGTTGGTCTGACGATACACTTTATTCATGTCAATGAGCATGGGCCTATGGACGAGTGGAGAATGGATGGGAGAGAGACACCCACTGAGCAGGGCTACACAGACACAGTCCTTCAAGCATCCTAGCCAACCCTGCCACAGGGACGTTGATTTTTGTTTGGGGTTGGAGGGTTAATGTTGTGAGGCAGGGTCTCACTGTGTAACCCTGCCTGCCTGGCCTCGAACTCCTATGTAGACCAGATTCACAGAACCACCTGCCTCTGTGTCTGCCTCCAGAGGGCTGGGATTAAAGGCGTGCACCACCACCACACCCAGCAATGGGACCCAAGGAGCCTACGGTGGTCACCAGCACAGTGCACTGGCTAGACATCATCAATTGGGCTCCTACAGCCTCCCTGCCCATCAGGTTCCTTCTGAGGGTCCACGTGGACCTGACCAGCCCGGAAGAACAGAGGTGCTTCTCGAGGGCCCTGGAGGAGACAGCAGGGCCCTGCCCCAGGCACCTCCCAGAGGAAGCAGCAGGAATTCAATACACCCTGCAGGCACCAGGTTCCAACAGCGGAAGATAACACATGCCTCCTGCCGCCTCTCTACCCTGACTTGTTTTGAAGTCACAGGGTTGAAGCGCTCCCAACCTCCAGCCTCCTTCTGTCCCAGGGAAACACACGTACTTGTGCCGGTGGATGATAGCATTGAAGAGCCGGCCGTCACGCCAGCTGGTGGTAAAGTTGTCACAGCGCAGGCCTTGGTAACCCTCCACCATACGCTGGGACCACAGCAGCAGCTTTTCCTTAGCAGTCATGTCCTCTGACTGCCCGCTCACCTGAATGTCTGAGATCTGCCACACACACACAGCAGTCAGGGGCCTGCCTGACCGACCACCCACACCACCGCAGGCCCTGATCACCTGCACGAAGGCAGAGCAGCTTAGCATGCGACTGTAATGCCCAGGGCTCCCAGGCCACACTGGGGTCCTTGGGGCGAAAGCCCACCACGTTTATCTCAAGACCAGGCAGCTCCACAGAAGACTACGGAGGCCCCAACTTCTACTGCCAAATGACGGGTGCTCTGGGCTCCCCTTAGCTGGGGGAGGCTGGAGTATACCCCCCCAACCCCCCCAGAGGCTGGCACGCAACACAGATGATGGGCAATGGGCACAGACGGGCAACCCTCAAAGTAGGTCCAGCTGTTGGGGGTGAGGGGCAGGTCAAGGCCCCTCTCTAGCTGCAGGCCCAGGGGGAGGGAGTAGTCGCTGGGAACTGGACATGATGTGTGGGGCTGGCACCCTGACCCTAAACCCAATGGCCGGCCTGGGTCTACCAGCCTGCCTGCTGTCCACAGGCGTGGCAGCCTGTCCCCTAGCAATCTATCTGTTGGCCAGCCCATGTGACTCAGCCACCATGCCAGCCTGGCTTTTAGGCCCAAGATCTTAGATTTGTGGCTTCCTGTGAGGCTAACACAGGCAATGGATGAGTCACCCAGGGCATCCCTGCAGCTCCAGAAACTTCTCTAGGCAGCCAGCAGAAAATGCATTCCTCTACAAGGAGGTTCCACCAGCCCTATCTAGCCAGGGCCCGAGGGCACAGGATAGGCAGGTCTTGGTCTTGGAGAGAGGATTACACCCTGGAGCCACGGAGCTAGCTAGCATATGTCGAGACTGGCAAGCAGGCCCGAAGGCACCACCTCCCGGGGCCACACCCTAGCCAGGAATAGGGCCAGCCAACTAGCCATGGAACCCATTGAAACCCTAGGGGAAGGTGGATGGGAGGCGGGTGGCCACCGACCTGGAAGTGCAGGATGATGGTCCAGATGAGGCCAAGGGTCAGCTTGGGGTTCCCGTCGGCAATGTCATCGTTTCTGATGTTCACTAACTTCACCTGAGAACAAATGGCTCGGTCAGGACCCAGAGAGCGGAGGGAGGGCGGCCAGGTTTGGGGTTTATGACCTAGAGCCTGGGGCCAGGTAGACAGCCTTCCTTACCTGGCGATGTCGGAGATAGTCCAGGGCAATCTGCACGTTCTGCAGTTTGTGGAAACGCATCCTTCCCTTCTCTCGGGGCTGAGAGGAGGCAAGACCCGGCTTAGAGTCCACTGGGCAGCAGCCTCTTCAGGACCCCCACCCCTCCGTCACCCCCAAAGCAGCAGCAGCAGCAGCAGCAACTAAACCAAGGGTCTCCCCCAGTGCACCGACAGCCCCTCCAGGAGCCCAGGTTCACCCTCCTCAGCTGGGTGACCGACCACCAGCCCACCAGGGGCAGGCTTGGAAAGCCGGCAACCCCAGCTGTGGGAAGGAAGGAAGGGAGTGGGGAGGAGACAATGGCCAGGAAGCCACGGGCGGAGGGCAGTGGCATTGAAGGGGGGTCCTCAGTGGTGCCCACTGCAGCTTCTGGTGAGTCTCTGGCCCAGCCCCAGGCAGGCAGCAGGCAGCTCGTCACATAGCCATCAGCCCGCCCGGGAGCCAGATGTGGGCCGGGCTGGATCGGCTGCCATCCATCCCCAGGTGAGGTGGGTGGGCTCCACAGTCTTGGGAAGCCCAGGTGCCGCCAGGCCAGCAGGCACAACCACTCACCAGGCGCACACTCCTGATTACGTCCCGCTCCCTCGGCTGCCCAGCCAGAGCAGGGCAGAGGGTAAAGGGCAGAGGTCAAGATTCAGAGTCCAAGCAGCAGAGAAACCAAAGCAGAGCAGAGCATGAGGTTACTGTGTTAGGGCTCAAATGCAGAGAACAGCGGGGGGCCGCGGCCATTCGTAGGCCTGGCCTTGGGCTGTAATGCCAACACCCTGGCCAGGGGGGAGCAGTCGGGATTGGAGGAGGCCGGAGAAGGTGAGAGACCAAGCTGGACACCGAGTGGGTAGTGGGAAAGGCCCCGAGGGAGAAGGCAGGCAGGCAGGGGCACACATACCAGGCTGTCCCCTGAGAGGACTTCCAGCAGGGAGATGAGGTTGTGGCCATCCCGGAGGTCTTCATACAGGTCACTGATGTGCCTCTGAGCCTGTGGGAACAGCGGGGGGTCAAGAGGGCCACAGATGAGAATCCCCACAGGCACTCAGGCACGGGGCACTCACTGCCCAGGGTGTGAAGAAGCAAGGGCCTGGAGCACACCCCTGCCCCATGCAGGCACCTACCTCTGCCCTCCAGTGCTACAGCAGAGACCAGGAGAGACCAGAAGGGAGAGGAAGAAAGAGACAGAGTAAGTGTGGGAGGAAAAGCAGAAAATAACAGGTTTCAGAGATGAAAGGGGAGCGGAGGAAGTGTGAGAACCCCCTGGGGGGGTGTGGGTGTGGGCTGGGGAACCCTCCCAGCTCACAAAGCGGGCTCCACTCACCTTGATGAGGTGCTTGTTGACCCACTTGGTGAAAGTTTTCTTCTGTACACGGTCCCGTTCATCTAGAGGGGACAAGACCAGTTTACCTGGAGCCTGGGAGAAGCCTAGAAAGGCCCCCAGAGGTGAGCACTACGCAGACACACAGCGGTCGGCTGGGCCACACCTTGCCTGACAAGGTTCCACCAGGGCCACCCCAGGCCTTGCCCAGATCAGAAAGCCCCAGGTCCCCCAAGAAACCTCCCCACACAGACACCAGAGACCAAGGAACCCAGGTCTAGCCTGCCCTAGTCCTGCGACGGGACCAGTCCCAGCAGGGTGTTGCTGTTTAAAACTTCCTTTGTTTCTACAAGAGAGGAGGTCTGGAGCCACTGTACCCGGGGCCCAGAACACACAAGTCCCAGCCTGCCCCACCCCACATGCTGCCTCCCAGGCTGAGCAAGAACATGGCAGCCCTGGGACCGGCAGGGCTTTTGGAGGGAAAGTCAAGTCTCCCTGACAGGGCAGCAGGCCTTCCCAGAGACACAGAGAGCCCGAGACACCCCGGCCCCTGGCTTACAGGTCAAGGGCCAATCGATGATGGGCATGGATCACGGGCCCCCATCTTGGAGCCCGTCCCCGAAATCCATACCCTTGTAACAGGGCCCCACCCCCCCCCACTCTGTGCCAAGGCTTCCTGATACAGGAAGGACCCCTTCCTGTCACCAGGCCCCCGCTCAGAAGGAATGCCAGCTACCTTTCTTGCCCTCCGAGGCCCTGAGCACAGCCAGGTAGAGGTTGTCCTCTGAGCTGGTTCTCTTGCCACCCAGGCCCTCAGGCTCGGGCACACGGAGCCGGTGCTGAGACATGGTGCTGCCCCCGCCCCTTCGTCACCCTGTCCCTTGGCTCTCAGGTGCCGGGCTCCCTCTAGGCAGCCTCCTGTGTGGTGCGCCTGCTGAAGGCTGAAGCCGCCGCCGCCACCGCCCGCCGCCACCGGCTGCTCTGGGCACTAACTCGACCGAGGCTCAGCTCAGACTGGAGTTCTGGTGACCACTCCCTTGCCCTGCCCGTACTCCTAGCAAGGGGCCGTCCCGCCCCAGGAGCCTTACCCCGCCTGGCCCGCCCCCCAGAGGGGAGTGTCCCTGCGGGGAAGGGAGGAAGGCAGCCCCTCCCCCATGGCCACACCCTCAGCCCACCAGAAACAGGAAACCCCGGGTTTCCTCACCCACCCTACCCACAGCAGTGGGACCTGGGTAGAGAGATGGGGGAGGGAGGGCTGGCCCCAAGATCACAAGGGAGCACCTACTGTCCCCGTGGCCATCAGGAAGGATCCTGTAGCACAGGCAGTGAGCATTAGTACCCTACCACACGGGGGTATTAATTAATGTGTGGATATAACCAGCCTATTTCCCTGCACAGTGACTGCAGGAGAAACTCCTGGAGGTGGAGACCAGCTGCCTGTCTACTCCTTGAAGTTCCCCTCAACCACAGCTCCTGGATCCTGCACTGAGCAGGGACCATGCCCTATATCCAGCAGCCCCCGCAGCGGCCAGGTTGCCAGGCCCTCCTGCAGGACTTCCTGGCTTCGGCAGAGTCTCCCACAGGATCCCCTACAGTCCAGCCCCAGCCAGCCCAGCCAGGCAAAGCACACCTCAGGCAAGAAGGGCTCATAGCTCAGTGGTGACTCATCCCAGCAGAGCAGACCAGCCCAAGCTGCGGGGACACCTCCCCGGCTGGGGTGGGAGCAAGGGCTGCTGGGGCAGCAGGCAGCGCACCAAGGGGGCACAGCCGGTGAGTCAGACCTGGGGAGGGGGCCCGGGTGCCGCCGTGACTCACCAGAAAGGAAGCTGTACCTTGGGGCAGGATGGGGCTGTTTGCATCAGGGCCGGGCAGGGAGATAGCAGCTGTTACCGGTTGTAAAGGTACAAGACCTGGGCAAAGGGCACAAGGGCCCCTGTGACTAGACCTGGCTTCTTGTAACCTCTGGCTCCCTTGGGTCAGAAGATGGAGCCACCTATGGCCGGCATCTGGAACTGCCCAACCTACCCGACCCACTCTAGGAAAAAAAAAAATGTACCACCCAGACCACAAGAATTTTCCAGCCCAGGCATCAGCCTTGATGTGATCCAGCTGTGGACTGCTGAGGACCAGCCCCCTCCCGGTGTCTAAGGCCTCTGCGTTCTGTTCCGGGAAGTCTGCCCTCCGCTGCCCTCACTGCTCCCCTTATGGCCACAAGGGGGCACCAAAACTCTGTAGGGCGGAGTGGGCGCGAGTGCCGGCGTGAAGTCTGACATTCACCCCAGAGCACCACGCTCTGCTGAGTGGCATACACTGCCCCTCACTTGAGGGTTCTCCTCGGACTCCAACCCAGGACCATCTACCTCTTTCCCCTCTAGTCCAATGACCACCACAACCCACCAGAGACGACTCCTCCCACTCCAAAGGCCTTCCGAACCTCAAATCTGACTCTACGCTGGTCAGGGCTCCGAGAGCTCCTCAGAGACCAGGCCAGCAATCTCCCAGTCAGAAAGCAAACCCTTCAGGGAAGTGGAGGTGTGCCGGGGCTGGAGAGATGGCTCAGCGGTTAAGGGCACTGGCTGCTCTTCCAGAGGTCCTGAGTTCAATTCCCAGCAACCACATGGCGGCTCACAGCCATCTACAACGGGATCAGACGCCCTCCTCTTCTCTCTGAGGCTCTCTTCTCCCATGCAGGCACTACACCCCAGTGGAGCACTCATATACGTGAAGAAATAAATCTTTTTTAAAATTAGTGGCGGTGTGTAACATTGCTGAAGTGAGTTGCCACTCTGTCGAGGACAACTCCTGGAAATGGGCCAGCAGTTGAGCACAGGAACCCAAGAAGCCACTAGATTGTGGGGGAGACAGGATCTGGCATCCGAGATAGACACAGACCCTAACCCAGACCGTTCTAAGGATGCTGTCTGGGAAGTGGGTACAGCTCCAGGTAGGGGTTTCCACCTCGCCAGGGGACCTCTGAGCACCCCTGTCCCTGAACAGTCTGTCTCTAGGGGCCTCCTTCCTTAAAAGTCTTTCAGGGCCTCGGAGCTTATGCTTGCTCTCACCTCTCCCAGCTCCGCCTCGCCACTCACCCCTCGCCCCTCGCCCCTGGCTGGAGATGTCGCCTCTCCTGCTCCTCCTACTCAGACTCTCAAGCCCACAGGCTCCCAAGCTGCCCAGCCCCCCACCTGGCCAGGGCCCAAGCCATGCCCTCAAACGCTGCTGTACATCTATCTCATGGGGCTCTCCCACCTGGCCAGTCAGCCCCAGGGACACCCCCGCGTCAATACTGTGCTGCACATCCGTGGAACGGGGCTGACGCTCAGCACCAAGTCAGTCTCCCTAGGAAGGGAGGTCATTATGTTCCCACAAGGAAATGTCTTTTTCTGCTCCCAGCGAAGTGGTAACAAGCTAGCCAAAGCAAAGAATCCCTCCCCACCTCAGACACACAGACACAGACAGACAGACACACACATGCACACGCACACGCACACGCACACTGGAAGAGAACTTGAAGGCCAATGGTAGCTTAAGGGGGAGGACCCAGAGCCCCACTCTAACGTCGGCTCCGCTCC